TCGTTGCAGTTGGAGTTGGAGTGAAGACCCGAATATGAGAAAAAGGGGGTGGAAATGGATGTTGAAGTTGGAATGAAGCCAAACGAAGAAAATGAAAATGAAATTAAAGAAAATATGATATATGATTTAATGGAAACAGAAGAAGCGGAATGAGAAGCTCCAGCAGGGATGGACAAAATGTCCGGACCAAACCAAACGAAACCATAACCGAACCAAACCAAGCGGTTCGATTCAGTTCTACACAAAAAATTAATAGCTTTAGTTCTTCGAATAAAAAACAATTTGGTTATATTTTTGGTTCGGTTTTGATTCTAGAACCAAGAACCAAACTGAGAACCAAATTTAATTTATAATTTTCTTTTTTGTATGAATTTGATTTTATGTTAATTGAAAACAACCCAATAGCCCTTATTTTGGTACGGCCTATAAAACGTGTTTAGCCCATTAATTTTAATTGTATTCAATATTTGTATTTAAACTTCTTCAATGCATTATTTTGGACGCATTCTTGATTGTTTTAGGAGTTCTTTAACTCCTACAACAGTCGAGGCTTTGATTTGTACCCAAAATTGGTTATGAGAAGAATCTAGGCTTTTGAGAGTAACTCAAGACAGAATTTGCATTGAGGAGAAAGAGTTTTTTGACGAAATTGAATATGGTAAAATTTATTTTATAAAATATTATTACGTTACATCTTATTAATTGTAAATGGTTTTAATTTATTTTTGTTTGTTTTATTTGTGTATTTTGAATTATGTTTGTAGAGTTTCTCAAAGTTACACGATAAGTAATGAAGTATTAAATGGTTAATGGTTATCTAATGGTAAGGGCTAAGTTACTTGGCTTGGTCATTTTCTCACCTCCCCTGTTTATTAGTTTTGAGTTTTAACTTTATATTTCAGTTTCATTTTTCTCATGTAGGTCTAATGGCTTCATGTAAAGGAATTAATTGGATGGAGGATGACTCATTCGTTTATTAACTTCTCGCAATGACTCATTTATTTATATTTTGTTTGTTCGTTTGGACTTGTATGATCTTGATTATTGATAATTTGAACTTGCAAAATGTTTGATGCTTATATTTTTAAGTGCATATTAGTTACTTTTGGATATGATGCAAGTATGAAAATTTAAGTAATAGTACTAGAACCAGACCAAACCGAACCATAACCAAATGGTTCGGTTCGAATCGGTTCCGCATCTTAAAAAAAAACTATTTGGTTCCATTATAAAAAAAAAAACATTGGTTCATGGTTTGGTTCGGTTCTCTTGGAACCAGGACCAAATGGAATCACGTCCATCCCTAAGCTCCAGTGATGTTCGAGAAATTTGATGTGTATTTTGCTCCTTCTATTGATCCTATTACTAGGGTAATCAAGGTTCCTTTTTTATTATTCAGGGAAAAGGCCATTTGCATTTCCCTTTTGAAATAAATTTGCATACTGTTGATGTTTATTTTTGTATCTGTAGTTGTATGTATTGCGGCCATATGAATTGGAGGACAGATGCGAAGAGGTACGCATTATTAAAACATGTTTGGTGTTTTTGTCTCATGATGAATGAATCTGCATTTGGCTAATTGACAATTTAGAAATTATGAGAATTTGTGGTTGATTAGAGTGTGTGTGTGTGGGGGGGTGGGGGGTGGTGGTAAACTTTAACTCAACAATTAGAACAGCATCTTAACAATGGCAGGTGCTCAGATGAATTCATGGATTCTCTGTTCGATTTGACAATACTTAAGCCCTATTGTTTTCTGTTATATCTTTTTTTGTAATTCAGAGAATTAGCTGTTACTCATTGCTTTATTTAAGGAGGAAAAATATGCATCATCTTTTTATTTGTAATCGCTTGGTAGATTCTTGCTTCATCGTGGAAACCACCTCGCACAAGTGGGTATGCTGCTGGGGTTCTAAGAGGAAATAAGGCTGAATTTAGATTAAAGTCTGAATTTCAATTTGTATCAAACAGGGGCTTGGTATAACTTTTATTTCACCATAAAAAATAACCTGGTAGCAGTAAAAATGAAAAGAAAAAAGAATAACATGTTTGGCTAAGTTCAAAAAGACGTAAAATTATTTAAGATTTACAAAACATGTCATATTATTGATTTTGTATCTTTTTTTTTTTGGTTCATTTTATTTAATTTTCTCAAATTCATTGTAGACTTATGTGAAAATAGGATTTACTTGATTGAATTCCTCAACAAAATCATACCAAATGGGGGTAGAAACATAGCTTCTTTTGATTATTTGTAAGCGGCAATTAGTTAGAAAATCACATTGATAATCTTTGCTCTTGTCCTAACTCGTCCAAGAGCTATATTTTTATCTATGTAAGTAAAAAATATATATATTTTAAATTATTTTGTTGTTTATGTGAACAATAAAACGAGAATTACTTTTAAATCAAGTAAATGATTTAGGACATGTTTAAAATTCAAAAAATGACTTATTCATGTGAATATTGCACTTATTTTTTGCTTAATTAACAAGCTTTTGTTGATTATTATATTCAATTTTCCATTTTTTAGAGTGAATTATTCAATTCTATTCTCTGTTGATTTGTGCAATATTTTCGTGTTCTCAAGCAATGTCTGCATTTATACAGAGTTTTATGATATTGTGAAAGAAGGCGAAAAGAGAACTAGCTAAACTTTATTTGGTGGTTAGGATGAGATGATGAAACCTAGCTTTTGATGGTTTAAGTTGACATTGAAATTGAATATAAATTGAGTTTTTATTGTTGATTACTATTGTGTTCAGGGGCCGATGGAGGGATAGCCTTGGGCTCCCATTAAATTTTCACTATTTAAAAAAAAAGTGATTTTTTTTTCTATGTATTAGTTTAATATAATAAAAAATGTTGCCCCCTGACCATGCCCTTTATTATATTCATATTTCTGTCAACTAACGAATGTTTTGTGAGCTAGCTCCAATTTTTGTCAACTTTAAGTTCATATTGACACTTGGAGTTTCATCTTAAAATATCAACGTGTTAAAGAAGTAATTATTATATTTATATGTTTGATTAGTGATTTAATCTTTATTCTTTAATCTATATAGGATTTCCATTAGCAACTTGCAACAATAATTTTTCAATTTAGATTCCAATTTTTTGGTGAACTTCGTCGTGTAAAGCTAATCACTAAAATGAAAAGTTACCTTCGACTGTTTTGTCACTCAAAGGATTAAATAAGTTCGAAGATTTAGTCAATAAAAGAGAAATGTTTAATACAAGAAATTAGATAAAGTTCGAAAGTTAGATAAATAAACTTTAATAGTTTTTATTTATTTATTTATATCATATATTATGGAATCGATGTTAACAATTAGCAGGGTTAATGGATACCATATAATTTGAATGGAAACTTGAACTTTTAATATCTAATGTTCTTATGAAATGGAACTCGTTTTAGTGAACAAATTTGGGTAAATTTTTCAAAAAATTGGTGATAAAAAACTAGAGAGATTTTTAGCTTCACGCTGTAAAGAAGGTTTAATTCTCCTCGGTAGAGAGTTCTTCAAGTAATTTGAGAAATTCGTCTGTCAACATAAGTGAAATTTTGTCAAAGTGTGGTAAGTTGTTATTAAAAAATGTCTGAATCGGTAGATGATGAGGATGGCCAACCTAATTGGGAAGTCTCGATACACTTATTCCTATCTCTAATATACTTATGCAAAAATGTAAATGAAAAATTATAAAGTAAATAACTTTTAATTTTACGAGAATTATAATTTATTAATTTTAACAATAAATAAGCACATATATAAAAGAAAAACAAATATAACTTTACGTATTTGAATATATATAATCGAAAGTTTCATCCACAACAAAATCATAGAAACACTGCGTGTAAATGA